GAAGGTTTATGTTGGAGCCAATTTAAGCTCAGACATGCGAGGTATGTTGATTGAATTTTTAAAGCTAACGTGGACTGTTTTGCTTAGTCCCATGCTGATATGACAGGGATACCACCGGATGTGATGACTCACAAACTAAATGAAGACCATCCTTCACACCAGTAAAGCAAAAGAAAAGAAAGAAAGGAGCTTTCAAAAATCAAGTGATTCAAGATGAGGTCCAAAAGCTATTAAAAATTGGGTCAATCCGCGAGGTAAAGTATCCTAATTGGTTAGCAAACACAGTTGTTGTACCTAAGAAAAATGGTAAGTGGCAGGTTTGCGTGGATTATACAGATCTTAACAAAGCCTGCCCAAAAGATTCTTTCCCTTTACCGCATATAGATCAGTTAATTGATGCAACTGCAGGACATGAACTTTTGAGTTTTTTAGATGCATATTCGGGGTACAACCAAATTAAAATGGACCCCAGTGATGAAGAAAAAACTTCTTTCATCACAGACAGGGGGACTTACTGTTATAAAGTAATGCCCTTTGGTCTCAAAAATGCTGGAGCAACCTATCAAAGGTTGGTCACAAAAATGTTCCAAGAACATTTAGGAAAAACCATGGAGGTATATATAGACGATATGCTCGTAAAAACCCAACATTATCATGATCATATTTCTCATTTATCTGTTACATTTGAAATTTTACGAAAATTTAATATGAAACTCAATCCAGAAAAATGTGCATTTGGGGTTGCCTCAGGCAAATTTTTGGGGTTTCTCGTTTCTAACCATGGTATTGAGGTAAATCCTTCTCAGATCAAAGCAATAGAGGAGATCCCTAATATCCTTACGAGTAAAAAAGAAGTCCAAATGCTAACGGTAAGAATTGCAGCCTTGGGGAGATTTATTCCCAAATTTTCAGAAAAATGCTTTAAATTTTTCTCCGCACTCAAAAAACAAGATCATTTTGAATGGAACGAAGATTGCCAACAAGCCCTTAGAAATTTAAAAGCTTACTTGTCAAATCCACCACTATTGGCAAAACCAAAAGAAGGAGAAAAACTACTCATCTATTTGGTCGTGTCAGAAGTTGCGGTAAGTGCTGTTTTAGTCCGTGAGGACCAAGGTAAATAATCTCCTATATATTATGTAAGCAAGTCTTTATTAGATGTTGAAACACGATATCCACAACTAGAAAAATTAACATTAGCTTTGATCATGGCATCTAGAAAATTAAGACCTTATTTTCAATGTCATCCCATTGTTGTAGTTACTGCTTTTCCATTACGAAACATTTTGCATAAACATGAATTGTCAGGGAGGTTAGCAAAATGGGCTATAGAATTAAGTGAATACGAAATCATTTATCAACCTAGGACTGCTATAAAATCTCAAGTATTAGCCGATTTCGTAGCTGATTTTAGCCAGGGGATGCATTTAGAAGCAGAAAAAGAATTACAAGTTTTTAATGGTGCAAACCCGGGGACTTGGATTTTATTCACTGATGGTTCGTCTAATGTAAAAGGAGCAGGCCTAGGGATAGTTCTCATACCACCTACGGGTGAGACTATTAGACAGGCTATAAAATGTCATTCTATAACTAACAATGAAGCAGAGTATGAGGCTGTAATTGCAGGTCTAGAATTGGCACGAGAACTCGGCATAACACAGATTATAATCAAGAGTGATTCTCAACTCGTGGTCAATCAAATGCTGGGGACTTATACAGCCAGGGAGACACGAATGCAAGAATATCTCGAAAAGGTACGGGAACTAATAAAGCAATTCCAAACTTGGAAGGTAATGCAGATCCCAAGAGATGAGAATGTGGAGGCAGATGCTTTAGCTAATCTCGCATCTGCAGCAGACGTAGCAAACGACGCAAATGCTTCAGTCGTACATTTATTTCATTCCGTTCTCGAACCTAATAAGAACGAGGTAAATTTTAATCATTTAACATGGGATTGGAGAAACGAAATTATTTCTTTTTTGCAGCGCGGAACCGTGCCTACTGACAAAAGAAAAGCTTATGCACTTCGCAAAAAAGCTGCTCGTTACTGTTTACATCAAGGAAATCTTTATCGAAAGATGTTCGGTGGGCCATTATCAAGGTGTCTCGGACCTTCCCAAACAGAATATTTGATGAGAGAAGTACATGAAGGACATTGTGGAAATCACGAAGGAGGAAGGTCGCTGGTAAAAACGATGATTCGAGCAGGGTATTATTGGCCTAAAATGGAAGAAGAAGCAAATGGTTTCGTGTCCCAGTGTGATAAATGTCAAAGATATGGCAATAATATGCATAGACCAGCTGAGCTATTGCACCCTGTTATAGCTTCGTGGCCCTTTATGAAATGGGAAATGGATATCGTAGGTCCATTGCCACAAGCAAAAGGTCAGGTGAAATTTCTACTTGTACTTATAGATTATTTTACTGAATGGGTAGAAGCAGGAGCATTTAAACAGGTATGAGAGAAGGGAATTAAAGACTTCATTTGGAGAAATATAATATGCCATTTTGGAGCACCAAAGGAAATCGTGTGTGACAACGGTCTGCAATTCATAAGAGCTCAAATCACTGAATTTTTTCAAAGTTGGCAAATTAAAAGGATAACATCTACACCATACCATCCAGTGGGTAATGGACAAGCGGAATCCACAAACAAGGTCATTATCAACAACTTGAAGAAAAGGTTACAGGATTCAAAAGGTAATTGGCATGAGGTATTACCTGGAGTATTATGGGCTTATCGTACAACGACAAAAACAAGCACGGGAGAAACACCCTTTTCAATGGTTTATGGTGCGGAGGCTTTAATTCCAGTTGAGATAGGAGAACCGAGAACACAGTACGATCAAGCAATGGAGGAATCAAATGATGAAGAGATGCGGGCGAATCTTGATTTGCTCGAAGGAAGAAGAGAAGCTGCATTAATAAGGATGACAGCACAAAAGCAAGTAATTGAACGGTATTATAATAGGAAAGCACGCCTCGGATTCTTTAAAATTGGGGACTTCGTGCTTAAAAGGGGTTCCAATCTACAAAAGCTGCTAACTTAGGAAAGCTAAGTCCAACATGGGAAGGACCCTACAGAGTTCGTGACATTACGGGAAAAGGAGCATACGAGTTGGAGACAATGGATGGCAAGGTTCTACCCTCGCATTGGAATGTTGTCCACCTAAAGCGATATTATTTTTGAGAAAGTACCTACGATCAGGTATCGTTGTATTAGAATTTTTCTTTGAATTGTTAAAATTTTACTAACGATTTTAGATGTTAGGCAAAAACCCTAACTCGTGCCAAATGATGAGTCACGACATGCATGGCAAAATAGAATATTCTAAAATTCTCAGCCCAGGGTTACAAAATAATCTGAAGGAAATACACACGGGTTAGACAGTCTTCATCTTTAATCGCACCTCCGAGTCCCGTATGTTTTTCTGTTTTCAGGAAAAAAGGACCAAATTGTGAGAAACAAACAAGTGCTCGAGGCTTCATACTTCAGCGCTCAAACACTTGGGGGACTGCATATTGTACACAAATACGTGTGGTAAGACGGAGACGTAAATTGAAACAAGTATCGAGCAGAAGTTACGGAACCTCAACATTCATCATTGTGTTCTTTCCTATCAAAACAAAGGAAGATGCAAAACATTCATCGTAGTGTTCTTTCCCATGAGAACAACGGAATCACCTCTCAAACCCTTCCTAATACATTAAGATAGGGTCATGACTATGTATTGAAGCAGGTTGTAAGGAAAAACCTTGTTGAATAGTATTTACTTTATAAAAATCTATTGCAAGAAAAACAGTTACGAGAAAGTTATAGATGTATCGCAATACATGTAATATTCAAAAGCTTGTCCAAGTTCATGATTAAAAACTTGTCAAAGTTGTTTCAAACAAAACATGTGTGTTCCTATTTCTTTCATCGTATTAT